GCGGAAGCACCGGTCGCCACGGTGCCGTCGACATTTGGTCTCTCGGCTGCGTTATCCTCGAAATGGCCACGGGTCGCCGTCCCTGGGCATCCATGGACAATGAATGGGCCATCATGTACCACATTGCCCAAGGCGATCCACCACAACTACCATCTCGCGACCAGCTCAGTGAAACGGGCATCGACTTTTTGAAGAAATGCTTCGACCGCGATCCAAACAAGCGAGCCAGTGCAGTCGAGTTGCTGCAACACGAATGGATCATGACGCTCCGTGCTCAACTCAGTCTTGAGCCCGCAACCCCGAGCGATACCAACTCCAGCAGCGGCGGAACCCCTCATAGTAGTAGGCAAAACTCTACCTACAACTAGTTCCCCCTCTGCCCTTTCTTCTTTCGCCTAAATCAGAAGACTTGCTCAGTTTTCCGGCCTTTTTTATTCTTCTCATTTGGTTGATACGCGCGCTAACTCCCTACCCTTCTTTTCCTCTTCCGCCCTGTAGTCACCCGTCGTCTCTCATTCCGCAAATCCAATCTCGATTCCACAAAAACCGGTCCCCTAAGTCCCAGCCTTACGGTCTCGTCGACTTGGAGCACGGGATCCATATCCCCGCTGCCACCGTTCACGCCGTCCGCGAGTGGGGGACCAGGGTTCTTTTTTGCGAAAGTGAGAAGGGACGCGTGAGATTGTAGGGCGGGAGTTGAGCGGAGTAGGTAAGGGTGTGATATGGTGGGAGTTTCCTATAAGATTACGTGCCAGTGTGGTGTCTTTCCTTTCCCTATCCTCCATCATCTATCTCTCTGGGCTTCAATTTGTCATCACCACCACCAACCATTATTATGGTTTCCTGCTTCTCACTACTTGCCGCTAGCGTTTCTTGGCGAGTAAATGGGAAGATGGGTTTTCTCTCTTGTATCACACATTTCTTTTTTCCCTTGTGCGCCTTTTTATTCATCTCATACTTTATTTTTCTTTCTCTTCTACATATCAAGTACACATATTGGATTCTGGATTGCAAAACAACAAGGAGATGAAAAAAACCGATTGGCCAGGGATCTCAGCGTGGGAGGGATTTAATCATGTGCATTAGCGATGGCGTTGTTTTTGGGGGGGGTCTTTGTTACCTTGGGAGATTGCTTCGTCTCTTTCTTTTTCTTCTTGTGTCATGAACGAACAAACGATTCAGTTAGATTGGATTGGATTGAATTGGGAGGGAGTACATACATAGCTAAGCAACGATTGCCCCAACTGTGAGGCTTATAGCATTTTTATCAGTTTACTTTTTTTCTCTTCTCTGTGAAGTGTACGTGCTACATCACTATAACGAAGGTTTGGGTTATGAAAATGCATTTCAGTCCTGCTGTTGGCGTGGCAAGACAGCGTGCTTGATCTACGGTCTATCATCTATTCCTCAGTCATACTCTTGTATTCTCTAGAGGAAAGCCCATAAACATTTTGCCCCGCTCCTCTCCTCGCTGCATATGCACACCATCTACTTACCGTCACGCATGGTACGGAAAAAGTCCATGACACCGGTAAAGACGACAAGCAGAATACCACCTCCGGGACCAAGTCGGAGAACCTTGGGCAGGAAACCCTTGTACAGGGCCGAGAAGCCCTCCTCCTTCATGACAGTACCAAGTGCAGGCCATGCCCAGTTGTACTTGGGTACTGAGCCGGCTACCTTTGGCGAGTTCTGGATACGCGACTTAACCACGTCCATGGGCGTGTTGAGAATAGTACCGACTGTTCCACCAATAGCACCAGACACGAGATCGTTTGAGATTTGGCTTCGCTTATCGGTTGCCTTGGGCAGGAGAGCGCGGACCTGGAAAATGCAGCCAAAGTATCCAGCGTTCCAGAGAATGTGCCTCCACATGGTTGACTCGAGACCCTGGTACAGAGTAAGAGGGCCTTCCTGCCTGATAATCTTGGTAACACAGTCCATCATGCCGTTGTACTTGTGCGCCTGGGCTTTGTCCTGTAACCGAATCTTAACTAGCTCGAAAGGTACGACGACGAAGGATTCGGTTGCACCGGCGGTGGCGCCAGTGAGGATGGACAGGGACTGGTTCATCTTGGATTGGCCAAAGAGGTTGCGGTAGAAGGCACCCCATGAGTCATTGGCAGCAAACTTGGTAGCCCTAGGCTATGTGAGTTGGAGGAAAATGAACGCGAATGGAGAAATGCGCACCTCTTTGGCGCCTCCATGAGAATGGGAGCGGTAATACCACGGTACAATCTCGAGGCACTGGCAAACGTCAGTCCTTCTAGTCTGTTACTGCTAATGCATTGTATCCGTACCCCTCATTCTTGATGATCTTCCTGAAGCAGTCCACCATGCCATTGTATCCCTCGTCACCAACTACCTTGCCGGTCTGAAGTTGTCTGCGCGCGTTAAGAGGCGGTTGCGAAGTGGTTGGATGTCTGGTTTCTTACACTCGGGTCTTGACAACGTCAAGCGGGTACCTTGAGAATAAGTCAGCGTTGGTCGCATAGAGAAGGAGCAAGTGAGTGAGCCATACATTATCAGGATCTATATGCGCCGGGCCAATTAGCATTGTGTGGCATCACGCGAGCTCGACGAGCGATGAGTTGCGCCCACTCACCTCCGACACACCAGCCACGGCACCTTAACACACAGATAGTTAGCGCGCGTACGTATAGAATCGAGGCTATAACTGAGATGTTGGCCAAAGGTTGCCGTCGTACAACCGAGGCGCATTGGAGCTGCATATATTTTGGTGGGCAGCTACCGGTAATTATGCAAATAACCACTAAATCGGCATTGAACAGTACTAGAGCAGCTATAACTTACCGGCCGCGAACTGGTAGACGAAAGGCAATGGTTTCGCATCGGCAGACGACATTTTGAGGGCAGGATGGTGGAGGAAGAAAGATGTCGGAGGGGCAGGGAGAAGAAGTGCCGGTGCAGTGCTAGTAGGAGTGCGAGAGGGATGCACGGCACACAATCTGGGGAAAGAGGCGTGGAGCGTGGGATGTCATGGATTGTATGTAAGTAAGTAGTATAATATCTCCAAAGATGGCCCTAGCTTCCCGTCTTCGGTTGCAAGGCACTGCTGCAACTTCCATTCCCAATTCCACTTGCACTTCCACTTCAGCTTTGGTGGGGGTGCAAAAGCTACTGTTCCTCGGCCTGCCCCACATGTCCAATTCCTGGCCAAATATACCCTTCTGGACAAACTCTACGGTATGTAATACGTCGGGTAATATTATTCGGCGGCTGCGAACTGATTCGACTCAATCGTCTGCAGCATTGTAGCCGACGCATGTCCCGCGCTGTCCCGCAGTCCCACATTCCTTGGACCGACATCGCTTGGCCCCAGCAACTTAATGACTCACGTGACCTGGATCGCGAACTCGTGGCGAAGTCCCATCCTATTGGTTGCCCGTGACGCGTGAACGCGCTCAACTGCATTCTGCAGACGTTGAGTCTGCCCGCCGTCTATTTCCATGTCGACACGGCAAAAGTCCTTTTTTGATCAGGACCAGAAGCCAAAGGTAGTTTGACAGCGACACATGATTCACTAGCCTAGTACTTATCCAAGACACACGCGGCAATATCGAGGCCAATGGAACCGCTCGCGCAACGGCGCCTTCCCCCACCATCACAGTAATCAGAACCCACCCGCGACGCGACAGATAGTTACAGGCCCTCCCATAATGCCGTCAACCCAGACGCGTACCAAACTCAAGGCCTTTCAATTCATCGAAGGCGTGCCATCTGTCGCCAATGCCAAGGAGCGCGAGGCTGAGAAAGAGAATCTGCGTAGTGTGCCAGGAAAAGGGTCCAAGTCAATGGGAACCCCAAAGGCAAGCAAGACTTCGATAGACATCGGAACTGGTAACAAGACTCCGAAACTGCCCACTGTTGTAGACTGCCCGCCACCGTCTACACCGGCTACCACGAGACTACCGCTGGCGGATCTTGTTGGTAACGTCGATGATTCCTCAAGACATGCGCCGCCGCCCGTGGCCTCTCCAGAAGAGCAATTGATATGGAGAGGCTCACAAGCGGTAAACACCCCATTGCCACGAAAGAACAAGAAGCGCGCTAGGAGTTCCTCACCGGTCGGCCCCTCGCAAGAAGAATTCAGGCTGGACTCAAACAGGCAAGACATCACAACGCCCCAAGCTGATCCAGCCATGGAGCTTTGGTCACGATACACGAACAGCAAGGGAACTCCCACTGCCAATAGAAGTGTAGCCTTTGCTCACCTCATCAACGAGTCTTCACCAAGGTCTGCCGCTGCTGCCGGAAGTGTGAGTGGGCTTCGAAGATGGGCCAGCTGTGGCGTCGAGTTTCCCGCATCCAACAGAAAGAAAAGGAGGGTGCATGGTGTATTTCAGGCCGAAAAGGAGATTGCCGAGGACGTGTTTGCTGATGTTCCGAGTTCAGATGGCATCATGCTTGGGCAGCCCACCAAGCCAAACATCGCGAGCATGGTAAAGCGGATGCGAGAATGCGTATCAAAATCAGAGACTCGCCTGTCCTCACAATTGCCATCAAGTTCATCACCTCTACCCCGGGCTACCGATCATCAAGACTCATCGTCCGGCTCTCCTGTACAACGGCGTCCTCGGGAACAAGATGTGATTACTTCAGAGACTCTGCAACATGTATCAACTTCACTGGGAGACATTCTGGATGAAGATGACGAACTTTTGCAAGAAGATGAACCTGTAAATGCTGAGCAGACCGGACCTGCCCCACTCGAAGCATCCCCGGAATCATCCGATGATTTTGGGGACGACGATTTCGATGCAGACTTGGTAGAAGCCTTGGATGTCTCGACCCAAGTCAGCCAAACAGCCCACTTCAGCAACAATACAAACACATCTCGCCAGCTTGCAGCCGCACAGCCGCAGCCACAGCCAGCTGCAGCGGCTCCCTCAAAGACCGGAAGCGACGATGAGTTTGGCATGGATGACGAAGATGAATTTGCCGCTGATCTAGAACAAGTGGCATCATTTTATGACACGATGTCGACGGAATCCCTAACAGCTGATCCAGCCCCAGCAGCAAACAGGGGGCCCTCTGCGGCTACCAAAGATACAGCATCAGCTACAGTCATTAGTCTGGTAGATGATGACGATGAATTCGATGAGGATATTGACTCTGACGAGTTTGCCGCTGCTGAAGTGGCTGCCACGCAAGCACCAACAAATACCGTATGTAAAACACAGATACGCCACTGAAAGAGCATCGCTTACTCTGGAAGAGTCAACAGGACAATAGGGCCATTCAGCGTTATCTGGTGAAGAGGGTAGATGAGAGCTCCTACACCACTGACCGTGGCTACCAGATGCCTGAGAAAGTGAGTTGTGTATCGAGCGATGTATCAAGAATTGTGGCTAAAGCACTATAGGTTCTCATGGTTGAAGAGGAGAAGACGAAGCTGTTCAAAGCCATCATTCTGCGGCAAGCTTGGTTTGACACGCCTTGCACGACTGGCTCATTTGTACATGTCATAGGAGAGTTTACAAGTGGCGGACAGTGTGTTGTAGATGATCATAACAACATGCTTATCCTGCATCCAGACCATTTGATCTCATCAACTGTTGTTGCAGATTCGTTTGGTTGTCTTCGACGAGCAGTGCTTCAGGACCGTGTAAAAGCGACGAGCAGAGCCAATGCACCAATGTTGTACGGCACACTTCTGCACGAACTCTTCCAAGAAGCCATGAAGGCGAACAAGTGGGATACTGCCTTTCTTTTGGAAACGATTGAAAGACTTCTACCAAACCACTTGGAGACCATACTGGAGATCAACTCAACATGCGAAGAGGTCAAGGAGCACATGAATAGCAAGTTGCCTGAGCTGCAAGCCTGGGCCAAGATTTTTGTTTGCGCAGAGCCACAAGCCGATGCCGTTGTTCGCGAGCGCAATGGGCGGCAGTGTACAATGAGTATCAATAAACTACTCGACGTTGAGGAGCACGTTTGGTCTCCCATGTACGGGCTAAAGGGCAATATTGATGCTACTGTCCAAGTCACAATGCGGGACGATCAGGGCGAACGTACCCTGACCGTGCCGTTTGAAGTCAAGACCGGGAAGAACTCATCGAATGCCGCTCATGTTGCGCAAACCGCGTTATATAACCTATTGTTGTCTAATCGATACAGTATGTTCTTCAATGCTTCCATAGTCTCCAGCTGACCCAAACAGATGTTAATATTGCATACGGCATCTTGTACTACCTTGAAACCTCCGATATCAGCCGCATTCCTGCTATTCGTAACGACATTATCCATATGATTATCAAGCGGAACGAGTTGGCATGCTACGTTCGAGATCGGATTGAGCTTCCACCTGTGCTGAAAGAAGACTTCAAGTGCCAAAAGTGCTATGCACAGGAGGCATGCTTTCTTTACCACGACTTGGTCGAAGATGGCAAGGGCGACATGCTAAACAAAAAGGCAAAAGAACGATACGACGAGCTGGTAGCGCCACTCCAACCCTCCCATCGTGAATTCATGAAGAAGTGGGATACGCTCCTGACCAAAGAAGAAACGGACATGATGAAGTTTCGGCGAGAGCTCTGGACGATGCTTAGTACAGAACGTGAAAAGCTGGGTCGCTGCTTCTCCAACGTCATCATGGAACCCGGGTCTGGTTTCGAAGAGAAGAATGCCCAAAAGATCAATCGCTACAACTACACCTTCATCAAACAGCAGCCGGCCCCTGGCTTTTCTTTCACTGAATCCCAGCTCATCGTCGGAGAGCCTGTCGTTGTCTCGGACGAACAAGGCCATTTTGCACTGGCCAACGGGTACGTTACAAATGTCAGCAAGCGACGCATCACTGTCGCTGTTGATAGACGACTACACAACTCTCGCACCAAGCTTCCAGGTTTCAACTCGCAAACCAACCAAACCTTTGCTGGTATCATGGAAGTCACCAAAGAAGGTGAAACAGTTGCAAAGTATGAGGCCAATGAGGAGCCCGTCCTGTACCGCCTGGACAAGGACGAATTCAGTAATGGCATGGCAGCTGCTCGTAACAACCTTATTCAGATCATGGATAACAACGTTTTCAAGGCTCACGACTTGCGTGCGCTGATTGTGGATGGTCGGGCTCCTGCATTCAAGTCTATCAAGGACACACCTCTGATGCCTGAGTCATCGCAAATGTCAATGAATTCCGATCAAAGGGCTGCTGTTTCGAAAGTCATGTGCGCCAAAGACTATGCGCTAGTACTGGGCATGCCAGGAACTGGAAAGACGACGACAATAGCACACATCATTCGCACACTTGTTGCTCAAGGGAAAAGTGTCCTTTTGACTTCCTACACGCATACTGCTGTTGACAATATCCTTCTCAAAATCCGGGACGATAAGATTGGCATTCTGCGACTTGGTGCTGCGAAGAAGATCCATTCTGAGGTACGAGAGTTTGCCACTCTTGCGGCAGAGCCAAAGGAAAGTGTTGAAGAACTTGAGAGGTCATGGATGCAGCCACCTGTCGTGGCTACTACCTGCCTGACAATCAACCATCCCATCTTCAGTCGCCGTGTCTTCGACTACTGCATTGTCGACGAAGCATCTCAAATCACGTTGCCAGTATGCCTTGGCCCAATTCGCATGGCCCAGAAGTTTATTCTCGTCGGTGATCACTACCAGCTGCCGCCATTGGTGCAGAACAAGGAAGCTATGGAAGGTGGACTTGACGTATCGCTTTTCAAGCTGCTTTGCGAAGCCCATCCACAAGCGGTCGTTAGCCTAGAGCACCAATACCGCATGTGTGCTGATGTCATGCTTCTGTCTAACAGGTTCATCTACTCGGGACGATTGAAATGTGGCACAACCGCAGTGGCTACCCGTACCCTGAAGCTTTCCAAGCCAAACGGTCTGATGGCCTATCATCATAGGCCACAACAGTCTCGGTTCAGCGCAGTACAATCTTGTGCAGATCCTGATGCCGCTGACTGCTGGCTTTCGCGTTCTTTGTCACCAGGCCAACCTGTGGTCTTCGTCAACACGGATCCTATCTCTCCGATCCTCGAAACGCAAGCTGGACCTCGCATAACCAATGCGCTCGAGGCACGTCTTGTCAGCCAGCTCACAGTGTCGTTGCTTAGCCTTGGTGTTGCTGTCGACGAGATTGGCATCATTGCTTTCTACCGCTCGCAGCTTGCTCTTTTGAGACAAGGTTTGGCTGCTGCTTATACACAAACTCAGTCTTCGGAGCTGTCAGCACCGGTGATTAACGGACAAGGATGTGCTGGTGTTGAACTCCATACTGCCGACAAATTCCAAGGTCGCGACAAGGAAGTGGTTATCGTCTCTTGCGTGCGCAGTAATGAGAATGGCGTTGTCGGCGATTTACTCAAAGATCGACGACGTATCAACGTTGCCCTGACCCGTGCTCGGTCCAAGCTTATTATATTGGGTAGCGAGAAGACGCTGTCGAGTAATGAACTCCTACGCGATATGGTTGCCCTCTGCCGAGAAAAGGATTGGGTTCTCGATCTCCAACCCGAGATGGTGGAGTCTCATGCATTTGAAGAGGCTATTACGCAAACCGGCAAAACACCAGTCCGACCATCGAATTATTCATCTTGCGTACCAGACTCTGCAGTGAGCCCGTCACTCACGCCTAGTCCGTGCAAGAAACGCAAGGCACTTGGCGATCTTACTACCGCTCCTGGGGCGATCAACGCCAGGAGTTCAAAGAAACAGATTGGAAACAAGAGTCCTGAAGCGAAGAAAGTGCCTGCCAAGGTCTTTACAGCTGGGAAACGCGGTATTCTCGATGGTAGGCCTGTTTTACGGGATATTTACAATGACGCTATGTAGCGCCTCATTGAGTTTGGTGAGTTGAAAGATATTTTTTTTCAAGAAGGTTTCTCGATGGAGGCATAGGGTATTGCTTTTGTAACGCTCTTTTTTTTCTACCACGTACTCAGGATAAGGGAGGGAATAGGATAATAGGGAAGGACAGGATAGGATACCACAGCGTTTTTTTGTTTCTGTTTTTTTATATATAGATTAGCGTAGGATGCGAACTTTTTTCAAACAAGCGGAAATGATACCAACAATGAATTTGATTTTTTTTTCATACTTTACTACTATTCTTTTTTTTTGACCCTTGAAGTATTGTTGACATGGAATTCACTTCTCCTCTTTTTTTTTTCTCTCTTCTTGTTCCAACCCAAAGCTTACTCTTCTACAACCTTACTACGTACCATTCCCAACTCGGCTCCTCTGCTGATCACCACCAGCTCTTAATTACCGTCCCGTTCTGCGCAGGAAAAGAAAGTCATATCGGACCGTTTCTGTCTGGGTGTAAGCGCAGATTTGTGGGTTGCATGCTGCCTGTGGGCTGGGCAGGTGAGTTGGCGGTGGGAAAGTTTGGCGGCTTTTTCTGGGGGCTTGGAGGTTGATTTTTTGGGGGCGTGCGGGGGGGTTTGTATAGGAAAGGGGGGGAAGGGCGTAGGGATGGTAGTGTTTCAGGGACTGGGTTGTAGGTGGATCGGGGTTTTTTTTGGGGATGTATCTATGTTTTATGTTTGGGGGAGCTTCCAATAGAAAGGCAGAAATATGTCAAGGCAAAAGATATGAATGTTTGTCTTGAGATGCAGAAGAAGAAAAAGGCACAATGATAGTAGTCATGCCACTTGCCAGCAACTGGCCGAGGGATGAACGTTGGATTGAGTGTTAAAGACATTACGAATACCATGTTTACAAAAGCGTCCCCTAATGGACTAAACGAGGGTACTTAACCAACTCATATACTTGTCTCTCGCTTACAAACTAGTAAGAAGACTAGGTAAGACGCTCCGGCTGATATACGCCCAGAGAGCAGAGCTATCGTGAGCCCTGAACGTAGCACTGGCCCAAAAGGTGTTGCGCTTGCCCTGGAGACCGTACAACTTCTTGTAGAAGCCGTTGCGAGTAGCTTCAGGTCCAACCATGAGGTTAAAGGGGTTATGTGCCGACGCAACGATAATCTCAGGATCAGGTCCCGTAATCCCGTTGGCAGTGCGGTAGCGGTTGATATCCGCAAGGATAGCAGCTTTGGCCTGATCGAGGGTGATGGACTGCCCGAACTTTGTGCCGTAGAAGATTTGGTTGTAGGTTGGGTTTGCGGTAGGCTCGATGTTTAGGATTGCGGGCATTTGAGGGATGGCGAAGGGGCGGTCGAGGGCGAGGTTTACGACGGATCTGCCTGGGAAGGCATTTTTGACGATGGTGGTGAAGTAGTTGACCGAGGTGAACTGGGTGAAGAGTTTGAGTTCGTCGCCGCTGGTGTCGAGGGGGGCGAGGATGTCGGGAGTGGGAGGAGCGGTGATGAGAATCTTCTTGGCTATGACGAGACGGAGGCCTTGGGGAGTCTGGACGAGAACTCTGACGCGGCCGTCGGTCTTGCTGACGCGGGCTGTCTTGATTACCGTAGAGGACAGGAGGAGAGAATTATCAGCCAGGAGTTCGTCGGTGAGTCTCTGGAATAGGAGACTGTTGTCCATGACCGAGCTGGTCTGGAAGTTCTGCATAGTCTTGACAAGGCTCAGGGAGAAGGTACGGATCACCTGAACGGTGGGGATCTCAGCGAGATCACCAAACGCAGAGGTAAGAAGGAAGATAGTTTGCACAGCATCAGAAATGTTGTACTTTTGAGCAAACTGGCCAAAAGGGAGCAACAGGTCTTCTGGAATAGGGTCGGGGAGGTAGAAGCCGGCATCCAGTTGAGGCCACTGTGAGATGACAGCGGCGTACCGTTGAATAGCAGCGCCGATGGCTGCTTGGTTGGCAGCTGGTAGACCCTGTAGGACGCGGCCCGTTCTGAAGTCAATGTTCTGGGCGTCGGCACGAGAAAGGCTGGTCGGGGCGGTGCTGAGGCCGAAGCGGGCGAACCACTGATGCACCAGAGGCTCGTCATGGTACAGCTTCACACCGAAATCGATGGGACGGTTGGTCTCAGGATCGATGAAAGTCTCTGTGTGCCCTCCGGCGCGGTCTTTGGATTCAATGACCACAACCCTCTTTCCGGCGTCCTTGAGTTGGATGGCAGAGTAACATCCGGCGCCACCTGCTCCGATGATTACGACATCGGTTTCGACGACCTGCTCTGGGCTATAGTAGCTGGCTTCCAGCTTCTGGGGATTGGGCACTGCGTTGACGAAAGGAAAGGTGACCACCGCCACGGCGGCGATTGAAATGAATGAACGCATGGCTGAGGTATCTTTGTAGCGGGATTTTAAAGAAAGTAGGTAAGGAGCGTATTTACAAAGATGCTACTCGTGTGCAAGCGTAGAGGATCCAAATGGCCAGACATGGAGTTTGCAGATATATACACAACGGCTCTCCTGACTCGGACCTATTGTGCAAACCATAAGCTGAGCGTAAGTCAAAATGAAATTGCGTATACGGGACGGTATGACGAGTATCGCGACGATAAACTTTGTATCGGCGTCGATGCTCCATTCGCCTGGGGAGTAGTGTGGACCAGGGTGCCGATAGGATGCCGATGAGATACCGTAGAAACGGGGTTTTCAATCCTCATGCCGTGTGCTAGAATTCGAGTCTCTCATTGATTCTCGACAAGCTGAACTCAGTTCACGCGTTAGAATAACGAATAAAATTGAGTGGTATGATGCTGCTCAAGCTCAGCCCTAAGTGATGCCCGAGAGTTGGGGCGATGTGCCTGATCTGCATCAGTGCGGGTCTTCCCAGTCGTTGCTGAGCGTAAGCAGACATCAATATTTCCCTTTTAAAGTAGTTCCGGCTCAACTCGGTTACAAAACTCGCCATGCGGTTAATACCGCGAAGGCTGACATAAGTCAAGTGCCATATCAGGAACGATTAGGCTTGTCTTGGAAGGCGCTAATGTCTGTCCTTGTCAGGCTCTTCGGCGCATTGACAAGGTGTTCGAAATGAGATGGTGCTTAGGATTCATCCGTTGTGAAAATAGTCAGGAGTCGAGGGGCTGGATCATGTTGTGTATGTCTGTAAGTGTGCGTATGTGGTGCAATTTGATTGTAGGTTAACGCAACGCGTATGTACGTGCACTGTATGGAGGAACGCGATTGAACTGGGTCTAAGGAGAATCCTCGGCACTTGTTTGATAAACTGTTGCCAAGAGATCAGCACTACTAGTAGTAGTCTCTGCTTACTTTGGGGAAATGATGTTGATGATCAAATGCACAACTTTGATTGCACCACATCGGTTATACTTTTGAATACATAGGCTTAGAGAGGCAACGAGGCAAATTATCCGCGGAGTAATAGGAAATTGGGTGTACAAGGTGTCTGGCTTGCAGGAGACTGAGAGGTGACGTTGGCACGACCATCACGTAATACGATTAACATGTAATGTACTCACAGAACAGACTGAATATCTTAGAGATTGGGGGATCAGGTTCAAATCAGTCATTTACCTGAAAAGATGCAGCTCAGGTGATACAGTAATTGAAATAGTTGTCCTTGCATTGTCTATTCATTGCAATTTTCATCACATTCTTTCACCCCTTGTTATCGAGATAGGTAATAGAAAGCAAACTACAACAGACTGCACTTCCATCAGTGACCAAAAAAACCCCAAAAAGAACATCAGTCCCAGAATCCCCTATCCCAACGCCAAAATATCAACATTCCCCCATTCGCGAAACCTCGGTCTCACACCACCACCTCTCTGCACACCTCTCTGCTCTTCCTCTTCCTCCTCAACACGCACAACCCCCGATGCCGCTACAACCAAACTCCCCGATGGATGAACGAGCGACGCAACAACAGACTCATCCTCCCTCCCCACACTAACAATTTCATCTGGCAGCACAGCGCCCTCCTTCGCATACGCATCCCTCCAAACCCTGACCTTCCCATCCGTCCCCCCAGCCCAAACCTCATGCGAGAACCCCTCAACATCATACGGCGACTGTCCCGCATTCCAGATATCAAACGTGAGTTTCTGCTTCGTCAGCGCGCTTCTACCCGCGCAGTACCCCAGGGCGAGAGAGAAGCTGCGAACGTCGTAAATGAGTAGGACGTCTGCGTTGCGCTCGGCGACGTAGAGGTAGTTGCCGCAGGGACTCCATTTGAGACTTGATACGCCGTCGCCCATGACGTCTTTGAAGTTCTCGTTGCGGGATTTGGTGCCGCTGGTGGTGCCGGGGAGGGCGAAGCTGGTGACTTCGGCGCCGCTGGTGGGGTCGTAGATGCCGATGTGGCGGGTGCGTGATCCGGCTGCTAGGAGGCCGTCGCGTGAAGATGGGGAAGGTGGGGAGAGGGATAAAGCGGATATGTAGCCTTTGAAGCCGCGGCCTCCGCCTTTGAGTTTGTTGCGGCGGGCGGGTATGGTGGCGATTGTGTGGATGGGTTTGTCAGTTTCCTGCAGGTCGAAAATGACAATTTTGTCCTGGGAGCCGCCGAAGAAGTTGGCACCGTCGTGGGAATATGCTAGGCTTATGGGTGCTGTGACGGCTTCAGTCAGGTTATTGATTAGTTTGTATGAAGCAAGGGGGGTTGAGATGTCGACTGGTCCGGAAGTTGGAGGCGAATTTTCCTCGTTGGCGTAGGTTCGTGAAATATCCCATAGGGCATTATGCAATGTGATGTAAGAGTCTCGTCGACTGACAAGCACGGTTGTGCTATTTGCATCTTGCAGGTTGAAGAGCGGGTTGGCAGCAAAGGCCCAGATCGGGTTAGGCGAGCGGAAAGACGCATATGGTGTGAGGTTCTGAGCGCTGGTGTGGGATCCAATGTCGTTGGAGACCGGATATACGGAAAAGGAACGGCTGTAGTCCGAGGTGAATATGCAACTTCCATCTGGGGAGAGTTGTGCTTCTTGCACACAGCTGGTGTGGTGAAGGTTTCGCTGACGTTGAGCAGCTGATGGAGACGATGACGAAGATGAAACGCTTGAGGATGACAGATTGGAAGACTCAACAGCATCGTCTTCATCTTCTGGTTCGTCGTTCTCCACCTCTTCCAAAACCTTACTACCTTGTGCCTCGCCATCCCACTGGTCCTTACCTACCTCCTGCTGACCGCATCTCGTGCTAGCCAAACACCTCACATAAATACCAGCACCACTCATGATATCACCTCGCCATACCTCTACTTATAGAATCCGTGACGTTGAAATCACCGTGCCAAACCAACCACCCAAAAACGTCAAATCGAACCGATTCGCCCACCCTAAAATGCAGGGAAAACCCCCTCAAGCTCCAAGCTCCCCACGCTAACATCCCCCCGCACAGACACGCCGTTCACGTAACCCCCACCTCCGAAATCTCCCCGAAAACCGAACCCTCAGATTCCGTCATCAATTACCTTGGCCTCAACTTTCTCCTTCTCTCCCCTCACCCCAATTGCGCTCGTTGCAATGCCAAACCCCTCCCCCGCTACATCACCGCGGCGTAAACCATGGGTTGAATCACCATATCTCGTTTCTTTACTCGTACGTTCCCTCAATTCCCCTTTGCTTACTCCTCCCAAAAAGTCACAATTGCTAATTAAAAAGCAAAGGCAGGCGGGCTATCAGGCACAACAGTAGACCTCTCCCTCTACCCCCTCGACACCCTAAAAACGCGCCTGCAATCCTCGTCGGGCTTCGCCGCGAGCGGCGGTTTCACCGGTATATACCGGGGCGTCGGCAGCGCAATTGTCGGATCCGCCCCCGGCGCAGCCCTCTTCTTCGTAACCTACGACGGCGTAAAACGGCTTTGGAGCAACGCGCAGGGCGAGGGCGCGCTCGTACACATGGCAGCAGCGAGCTTGGGCGAAATAGCAGCGTGTGCGGTGCGTGTGCCGACGGAGGTGGTCAAGCAGCGGGCGCAGGCGAGTCAGTTTCCGTCGTCGAGGAGTGCGCTGATGCATATTTTGGGGCAGCGCAGGGAGAAGGGCGTGCTGCATGTGTGGCGCGAGTTGTACAGGGGATGGGGCATTACGGTTATGAGGGAGGTGCCGTTTACGGTGATTCAGTTCCCGCTCTGGGAGGCGATGAAGCGCTGGCGGTGTCGACGCACGGGGAAGAGCCAGGTGAGTGGGTTGGAGGGCGGCGTGCTGGGTAGTGTAGCGGGTGCGGTGGCCGCGGCGGTTACGACACCCTTGGATGTGCTCAAGACGCGCATGATGCTTGCCAGTGAGAAACAGCCCATGGTTAGCATGTTGAGAAGTATCCTACAGGAATCGGGCCCCAAAGCATTCTTCGCGGGCTTGGGACCGCGCGTAGGATGGATCAGTGTCGGCGGAGCCATCTTCCTGGGTTCATACCAATGGGCGAGTAATCTACTCGGAGGTGTAGAACAGGAATGATTATGTGTATATATATATATACCAACTGGGGAAACATGTCAAAAAAAAGTTTAAAAAATCAATGTACAACAATACGAACACTTGGACATGGAACTTTTGTGAAATTTTTCTACATGCTCCAAAATACACACACACACGCGTGTATATATATATAAGACATAAACGGTGCGGGCACTATACAAAACCCCCTCCACCACATGGGTCTGCTATTCAAAAAAAAAAACCCCCCTCTCCCACAACTACTAACTTCTCAAGGCCCAAACACGGCATTACTACCAGTCGCACTTCTCCTTTCTGCCTCGCTACTCTGCTTACCCTCGCTAGCATTACTACTTCCAGGCGCCGACGACGCAACGCCGGGTTTGAGACCGTAACTACTAGTTGGAGGAGCAGCAGCGGTGCCGGATTGAGGGCCTGGGTAAGGGGGGAAGGGTTTGATTTCCTTGCGACCATTTGCTTTGTAGTAGAGAATGACGTCGCCGCCTCCACGCCAGACATGGGCGCGGATACTGGCTAGTGTCATTGTGGGGGAGATGAGCTTGTATGGTGTTAGTTGCATAGTCTATACACACACACACACACACACACAATTTTAGAAGAAAAACTCACCTGTCCATTACAATACAGCTCCAAATACTCCTCCGGTCGCATAGGCGTCTCACCATCCGCCTTCATCTTCTCGAGCTGCTCCTTGCCGGGCTGCGGCTCGATGCGCTCAGCGACGTAGCCGAGAATCTTGCGGGCGCGCAGCATGCGGTTTGCATTGAGGCGGTTGTTGCTGAGTGTCGCATTAGCCATGGCTGCAGTCTCAAAGGGGAGAGAAAAGGGAATGTACCCGTCGGCAGAGATAGATGGCAAGGCATTGGCAAAGGGCTCGAGGACAAAGGATACTTTGACAATGTCCTTGGGTGGGAGTTGGTTCTGCGGGTGTGGTTAGTATAATTTAGTTATTCAGAGTGGATGTCAAGGTTGGCAACTCACTCGTAGTAAGACCTCAGCCAACCACATTGGTGCGGCTTTTTCAATCAAATCGGCCTGCGATGCCAATGTGCCCACTTTGCCCTCAAACAAATCTGCAACACCGCCCGAATCTGGACGATCCTCTTGGATCAGAATGGTCGTCATGGCTGGCGGCTTTAGAACAGGCGTTTCGTTTGGCAAGCTCGGTGCAATGGCTGAATCTAGCCGTGTCTCGCCTGCAGCTAGCTGCTCCTCATAGCTCTGTCTTATCTTCTGAATCACACCAAAAAAGTTGTCTTCAAACGTCTTTTCGTCAGTCTTGTTAGAGTGCGAATCGCTGTCCTCTGTCTTTTCATCGACAGCCGGCTTGGCGGGCTCGGGCACGGCAGTTCCAGTGCTAAACTTCTTCATGTTAAACGACATGTTGAACTTCTTGCCAAACATGCCTTTGCCCTTTTTGGATGGTGTGTCTGTTTCAGCGGGTGATTGGACAGCCTCTTCCTTGGAGTCGGTTGAACCTTCTTTGGACGTCTCGGCAGCTTTACCATTTCCGTTAGTCTCAGGGGCCGAACCAAAATAATCGCCTTCTGACGTCTGCGTCTTTTCCAACTGCACACCCTCTTCTTTGGTGGGAGTCAGGACAGCAGTGGCCGAGTTGCGCCCTGCACTTCCTGGTCCTGTCATTGGCGTTGCCAGACCGATGGCTAGACCTGGTGTGTGGGGCAAGCGGAATCCATTTTCAGCTTTGATGGTGGAAGCTGAAGTAGGGCCAGACATTGCGTCCTTCCAGCCGTTGATGCTCATGTCTGGCAGCTTGATGTTGGTAGGACGGCCAGTCTGTGGTTGCTCCTCCTTTTGCCTGAGTAGCTCAGCGCGTGCCACTTCATCGCGTTTGATTTCTTCGTCGATGAGGTTAGAAAAGAGATATCGCAAGATCCACTTTCCAAGGTTTACTACGTCATGTTAGCAAGTTCCAGCAGAAATTGGAAGGTACATACTTCTGTGGTCTTCCCGGAATTCGATATCATCCTCTAGATCCAGTTCGTCTGCGTATGTTTCTGCATCAAAACAGTAATTTTCCTCTAGCATACATGTCAAGGTTCCTATCCTTGTGTCGACAGCACACCAATGGGCAACGCTATCTTGAGTGTTGACCTCGGGCAAGACGTCTTCCATGTGCTTTTTACCAAATGACTTGATGGGCACGCACTGCTGAGTGTTAGCGGCAGGGCTCAATAGTGATAAAATTGCATCGTACCTTGAGCAAATCCCACAATACGACTTCTCCCGCAGTATCGAGGGTGAGGACTCTTCGGCGATCGTTGAGAAGATGATGCTTAATCAGTCCGTTTTGGCCTTCGATAGTAAAGTCTGGCAGCGGACGAACAGTGCCCACAGCGGTAGGATCGGCCGCTGTCAAGGCGTCTACAGGTTTCCGCCCACTTGCTACAGTGACTGCATCAGTATCCTTTGTGGCAAGGGCCTGAGGGAATGGGGCCGTGTTGGACATGCGCAGCAGGGCTTTGAGCGGAATCTTGGGGGTTGCGCCGTTGGTTGGAGGACTTCGCGATCGCATTGTTGACACGCTGTTTCTGTGCCATTTGTACGATTCTGGTAGCTCAATCTCAGCCGCCGTCTCAACATCGTGCCAGCGGTTGATGCTGGAGCTGGATGTTGCGGTCCAGATGTAGTTGCCTGCTGCGATGATCTTGTTGACGCCCTCATGTTCTTGACATACGGCCACAGAAAGACCTTCATCCATCTCGGCACAGTTGCGGACATCGCTCTTGGCCACGAGGCCCGATCGGTCGGACGAGTAAAAGGTGTCGAGAGTTGGCGAGTCAGAGTGGAGCGACCATACGCTGTCGTTGTGCATGGTGAGCGTGTACATGCAGCGACCGGCCGTCATGGACCAAACCTTGACCGTCTGGTCCGAAGAGCCAGTCAAGATGGTGTCGCCATCCTGGGCGAGGAGGATATCGCGCACATTGTCCGTGTGTCCAACAAACTTTGTGATGCGCTTTCCGGATCGCGAGTCCCAGACACGCACGATACTTTCTGGGCCGCCGCTGGCGACAAGGTTCGGTGTTACTGCAAGAGCGTATACGGAGCCCTTTGCTGTGTTTTCATCGTCGCCGACGGCAATTTCGAGCTTCTTGCCAGCGCCATTCAGGTCCCATAGGCTGATTTTTCGATCAAGACCGCCAGAGGCGATCCAGTTCTCATTCCCACCGGGCGATGCGACGCGCTTGACATAGTCGGTGTGCAGGCCGATGGTCTGGGGCGGGAGCTTGTCGGTGGCCGCTGGGCGCCAGACCTTGACGGTGATGTCGGACGAGGCAGAGACGAGGGCCGAGTTGTCTTGGGCGAGGACAATGTCGTTGATCCAGTGGGTGTGGGCCTGGACCTGCTGGCGGAACTGGGTGGGTGGGGGCTTGAAGTCGGGGGGACTGGGATCGGCAAAAGGGTCGCGGTCGTCGTTGTCGTCATGGGAGCGGTGCAGGTCGAGATGCAGGTCCCAGGCGCATATTACGCCATCACGGCCACCCGAGTAGAGGATGGCGCTGTGAGGGTCGACGGCCAAGCCATTGACTCCGAGCCTGTGTCCTCCAGCCGAGTTTGCAAGTGGCAGGACTGGACAGGCATGAGGTCAGCGATGGTTGGGGCATTACAAGCAGCAAGCACGTACCGTATGAGATGCGCTTCCGCGCGCTGCGTGCCATGGCCGCTGGATCAGGCCTGCGGGGACATGCGGTCGGCGACTAGGCGGGAACAGTGGGAAGAAGGAAACAAAGTCGGGGTGGAAGGGGACGAGCGCGTGGGTAGGTGGGTGCAACGAGCGCGTTCGGGGTGAGGTTGAGCGAGCGTCCAGGGTTTGGTGGAGAGAGAGAGATGCTCTTCGGCGAGTCAGGCTCCCTGGCTGGCAACTGCATCGCTAGATGGCTCTAAGCCGCGTGCGCACGCGCGGAATAACGGGCGACAGGCTGTGCCGCTGGGGCGGGTAATGTCTAGGAGAGGTCCAGCTGTGGAACCGATTGCGCGCATCGCCAGAGGGGCCCAGGGAGACGAGGGCTACGTCACTCTGCGCCGAGGCTGCACGCTCCGATAGACTTGGTGTACCTGTCTGTGTATGTATGTATAGCGGCCACTAGAGACGACCAGCACTGCAGCGTCTGGTACCAATGATGGATGCTCTCTGCCAGTCCCGCCAACCTGGGGCGCCTGGCTTGCGGGGAGAGCGAGGGCGCCTTAGCTCACGTCTTATTGTGCTCTGACCCCGGCTAGCTTCGGTTATCTCGGGAAACTAGCCGGTCCAGTGCTGTGGGTGTGTTTATTCTACTTATGTATGTATGTATGTAATAGTCCTGCCAAGTATCAAGACTGACTGCCAAAAAGAAAACAAAGTCCATCTCTTGACTAGAAATACATGTATCCAGACATGTCCTCTACCCGCCTCGAACCTCGCGCACCATGCACGAATGACAGTCCTTGCCCTCGCCTCCCCACGGCACTCGATCCCACTCAACCACCTTCATCACCTTGAACCCTCGGCTTTCATATAGCGGCCGCGCCTTTTCTGTCGCATCCAGGTACACCACCAATCCCTCTTCATCCGCCTTGCCTAGTCCCCAGTCCAGCATCATGCTTGCCGCTCCACGTCCTTGATGCTCGGGATGTGTTGCCAGTTGATTCAGCTTGAAGAATGGTTTCTCAGTCCCCATGATGCTTTCCTGCGCCGCCCTGAGTGGCTGAAATAGCGAGCTCAGCGCATCCAGGCGTAGCTCTCGAGGCAAGAACCCCGGTGCTACTGCTTTTTCCACTCCATCAACGTTATTCATACTCCACACTGAAATCGCTATCGTTCGTCCGCCATTGTCCGTAGGGTCATCAGGACTTGGCGCTGCATCCGTATCAACAACCTTCCAGTACCACATGTTTGTCGCCTGCTTCTGTAACTCGCCCTTTCGATCCTCAGCAGCCCCGCGTATAGATGACTCGCGTATCGGCCCGTTGTGCAGCACGTCGTGCGTAGGCCCGTAGTAGGCGGTACTGCGAACGCGTGTCCAAGATAAGGCGTCGTCAGCCCTCATGGGCCGTAATTCTAGAGGCATGTTGATAATGTGTGAGATTGCTGGGTGTGCTACCCATGGTAAAAGGTAATCACCATCTTAACTACCCCTCTGGCTTAGCAACAAATACTACCAGTGACTCACACTTCTCTCCTATCGAGCCGTCTTTGGAAGACGGCCATCCAAGCTCCACCATCCACATGTGGCGTAGGTACTCGCTTAATCTACCTGCCTGCCCCTTCCAGAACCAGTGCTTACATCTTGCATCGCCCATCACATCACCATGCCACCTGATAACCACCAAACACCAACAAACAACCAACATTCGGACCCCATTGAAGAAGGCATATGGTCCAACCCTACAACAACACATGTTTTAAGCTACCTATGCTACACATCTCTCTTGACATACTCGACAGGGCCTTTGTAGTTGTGCCTTCCAACAACGTAATAGTAGCTCATTGAGAAGACGACCAAGCAGCCAAAAATGGGGCTGGACCAGTTCATCTCAATCGGCGACGGATTCGGTACTGCAGGAAAGGCGCTAAACACCATTGCAATGGAAAGATAGCACATGCCCACTGCATTGATAACCATACCCCATTTTCCGAGATCGAACCGAGATGGAAGAAGGGGTTCTCCCCGAAACCGTTTCCAGAACATGCAGCCGATGACGATAAGATTGGAAAAGCAAATGGCAATGCCCGATAGCGCCATGATGATGTTGAAAGCAATTGTTGATCCAATGATAATAAGGCAGAGCAACGACGAGTTCAGTAGCGTGACGATCACCGCATTGACTGGAATGTCCCAGCCCGGAGGCACCTGTCGAGATTGTCAGCCAAAACACTTTCAAATGTCGAACAACCACATACGTGAGCAAGCCATGCTGAGAACGGAAGCCCTTCATCGCGCGCAAAGGACCACAGCTGGCGTGACGCGGCAGTTACTTGATTGACCGAACAGAACAAAAGCAGCAGGATCACAGCCACTGTCATGAGATTGGTAGCTGCCTTTGACTCGGTCGCATTCAGCAAGATCTGGATCCACGGTTGACCAAGCGGAGTCGAGAGAATTGTCGAGAGGTCGTTGCCTAGTGTGGAGAAGATTGTGACCGTCATCACAAAGGCCAAGGTATAGTTTACTATAGATGTCGCCACCATAGCCCGAGGCGATACCCATGCAGCATCCTTTACTTCTTCCGCTAGATGGACGACCAAGTCAGCACTTCCTATAGTAAGCATAGGGCCAAGCATGCCGACGAGGGTAGCAAGGCCAGTATTGCCCCAGCCGCTAGGATCTTCGAATTTGGTCCACACCCTGTCGGAGCGTGGGCCCATAACCCATAACACGACAAGAAAGGCGAAAAAACCAAGGACATGGAGAACCAGTGCAATGCCTTCCATCAGAGGAAGCTTTCTCACAAGGATGGTGTTGCATACGATCGAGATGATGGTAATGCCAATGGAGAGGAGGGTGCCATGCCAGCCTGTGACAACGTAGGTTGGCACGTTCAACGCAATCAGGCCTTGGATTTGTGAGGCCACTGCGTAGGCTGTAGCAGCCATACCCACCTGCCACCCAATAACACAAAGCCAGCCTAACATACTTCATCAGCGTTACATGTTTCAACAGAATGTCAAGAACGTACCAACGATATAGCTGAGCAACTTTTGGTGCTTCCTAGGGGCCAGCTCAGAGACCCAGTGGTACTGGCCACCAGCTGTCGGGGCCCTTTGAGAATACGTGAGCAGGGCTATCATAGAAGCTTCTCTCGTTAATACTTACATCGATACCATCTCAGCAAACGAAAGCATGACGAAGAACATTCCAAAACACACTAAGACGAGCATCCAGATTCCGCCAGCTGGGCCGCCATTGAAGAGAGATATACCGATACCACTGTAAATTCAGCCTGTTAGCCATGTTTTCGATTTGCGATAGAAGTAACATACATCAAAGCATATTCCCAACTGTTGCCAAGAATCACTGTGAAACCGAATATCGATAGGAATTTGAATTGCCGCTAATGATAGATGTAAGCTGACCAAAGAATTCGCATAGAGTTTGAAACCAACATACCCTTAATACCTGAACCTTGCCCATACGATCCATGTCAAGCTCATCGCCCTGAGTGCCATGTTTTTCATTTACAGCAACCGCGTTTGCCAACTCAACGCTGTCACGAAAATCCGTCACCTCCGACGGACCCTTCATCATGTCTGCCATATCTTTGCTATGAGAAGAGGATGCTGAAAATTAAGAAAGAAATGCAGAAGCCCAGTGGGAGAGCTCGGCCTGGCTGTGTTGTTCAAGGTTTGTGGCACAAATGTTTGCAAACAGATCCCTTCAAAAGTCAAATTTGCTGCTGGACGCCATACCACATTCTATAAGCGATATGTAAAGGATGCAACATGTCTGGATATTTCCCCGCGGACTCTACATGTAGCAAGTCGACTGAAGATTATGGCCTGATATGGTGGAGACTTTACCCCCCACCAAACGCTCACGGGCGGCGGCTGCCCCGTCTGTCGGGTCGAGCCTACTAACCTAACCGCCCGCCCGTGCCGTCCGCGCCACCTCCCTTCTTACCTCCGTTCATCCCGCGTATCTTCTGCATCATTCGGAGCTCGCGATAGAACTCAAACCTTTTCTGCACTGAGAATCTATCACGCCATACCATGCAAGATCTAAACTCTACACTAACAACAGAGGTGTTTGTCGGACAGTTACAGAAGGCATTCCCCTCATTTATCGCGATCGTATACAGTACTACCCTAATGGTACTAACTCCGATGCATTAGAGAGGCACAGTCGAATGTCCAGTCTGAACCGTATGCATGAAGTCCCACTTCTTTGATTGACATCCGTAGGATTACCAAAGTCAAGCTTTCCAAGCAGCTTCTAAGAATCCTTCTCAACAGCTTGCGCCAATGGAGCCCGCGCTTTCCCTTGCCACTGGCAGGTGCTCGTCAAATTTCGCGGCCTTGGAACTGAACGCATTTATCCGGATAACTTCCTAGAACACGTTCTATAGTGTGGCACAGTTCAGTTCATATCAAAGCAGTCCCGAATGCTCTCACCCGATACGCGTCTTATTTCAGTATGCTAGTCGCTTCCGTGGAAAGGCAGCAGAGATCAAAGCAAGAGATCTCGGCACCACCTGCCAGTATGAATCTAGAATACCGCCTTTAACCACGCACATAACCTCGACTACTGATACACAGCGAGCAGCCGAGTCTCTTGGCTCTTATCACCTGGCAAATCAAATGTGCTGCAATGACGTCCTGAAGGAGCAACTCCTGGAAGCAAAACGTATCCTCGGGTCTTTGTACACCAGGGATATCTTTCTGTAGCTCATCAACTTCAGCGTGATAGAGTGATATAAGCGGCACAGCTGCGTATCCAACATGCGCCTGTGCCTCGTCGCTCACACGCTCGGCTACAGTGTTTGAAGTACTCAAAAGCCAATGGTGTTATCTACACGATATCCCATAAAGGCTCACGTTTACAACTTGTTACGCTATATGCAAACCCAATGTCAGTTTTGTCCACTTCCCATAATTTGGTGAGGTCGTCAGAGTACCGATTTACTCGCGTCACAACAGATGATCACAGCGCGACCATTTGGATTGTCTCGGTGCTATCGTTGATATACGTTGTCCTGGCATTGGCTGTTCGCCTTGGATACACGAAATGGCGAGCACACGCTCTCGATGATATTGTAGTCACTTTTGCGCATGTATGTTCCCAAATTCCCATCAATTACTCTTTCAACGCGGTTCAGCTGACTAGGAAATAGCTGGTGGGCTTTGGCGTGTGGGCTTTACTATTCAAATCACTCAGGAACGGACTTGGAAAATCGTTCAACGTTCTTAATGACATCGAGATATCTCAAGTACAGCAAGTCAGTAAGAATCTTGTGCTCAGAGTGTCCAACCTGGGGAAAAATTGCAGCTGATACCGCTCTTAGTCATTTTTCAAAGGCCGCATTTTATCATATGCTGCACTTACCTTATCAAAATGCTCGATGCTCATCCTGATCCGCACTGTGTTTACACGTAACACCCATGTCTCGCGCATGTCTATTGGCGGTTTACTCATCGTTATGATATGGGGGGTGTTCAGCATTTCAGCAGTCTCGCTACGCTGCTCGGCGGAGCTTGTTATACCAAAACATGGCCAAGACCATTGCGTGGATTTCGTGAGTGTCCACATTTAAAACCTCCATGTAACCATATTAACAATTCAGATCCCATGGCTGCAGGTAGTTACCATTGGTGACATAGTCACCGAGACACTCATCACATTACTACCGATACTAGGTCTCTACAGCACGCAACTTCCCCTGAAAAGCAAAGCCGCCGTCATGCTCGCCTTCTCCACGCGTATACCGTACGTTAGCCACATCCATCGCCTTATACCAACCGCTAACCCCAATATCACAGCAACGTCGCCATCTCCCTATCCTACCTGATCGCCTCATCCACTTTCATCACAAACAACCACCCACCCATCGCCATCATCGCAACTGTAACCTGGCAAATCGTCCTCTTATCCTACAACCTCATGTCCGCCACCACCCCGCTCCTCCGCGGCTTCACCCAAGGCTTCAAAACAGCAGGAATGTCACTCTTCGACATGCCCAACACCACCAGCGCCGCTGCGAGCGGAGCAACACAAGATAGCGTTGAACTACGACTACTCCCGCGGCCCAAAATGCTACCACAAGATCTCGCCATGTCAATCAATCGAACCGTGGTGCATGGGGGTGATGGATCGCGTAGGTTGAAAGTATGCAAATGTGGAGGTGGAGAGCGGTATCACGATGAAGTTGCTTCGATATATAGTTGCGGGTCGCAACGGATTATGGTGAGGAGGGAGTGGGAAGTCTCGGATGAGTGAATAGGGGGGGGGGGGGGGGTACTTGGATATGAAAAAGGAATAGGGCACCTCAGTGTCACTTCGAATAGCCAAAAAAAAATTCCAAAAGAAAACCCATTCATTCATAAATATGTACCCATAAAATCCGACAACATCATATACACATGATACAGACGCAAGGGTATGTCTAAGGCTAAGCAACCAAAACATAAGAGAGAGAGAGAGAGAGAGAGAAAAGCACCTCGATCTACATCCACCCCCCAAGTATTTAAATACCAGAATCAGTCTGCTCATAAGGCCTATTAGCATCGGGCGCGCTTCCAGAAGGCCAATAAGAATCCCACTCATTGCAGCCTTGGGTCATACGACTGGTATCACCAATGGATCCCTTGATCTCGCTCATGCGCTCCATAAACTGCATGGAGAGACCCTGGCTAGCGTGCCACGCGATGTGGCAGTGCATAATCCACATGCCTGGGTTGTCTGCGGGGAAAGCCATGAGCATGTATCCGCCAGCAGGGAGAACAGCGGTGTCGCGACGGGTGGGGTTTTCAAAGTTGAGGTTTGCGGTGGAGCCGTCCCATGTGCCTTGGCCGCGGCCGACGATGTAGTAGTCGTGACCGTGGAGGTGGATGGGGTGGGGGAGTTGGATGGAGGCTGTTGATTGGATCCACCAGAGGAACCAGCCAGTGCCTTCCATTGTGTGGACGTTTGAGTTGGGGCCAAAGTTTTGGGAGCCCGCGAGGACAGTTTCGAGAGAGGGGTTGTTCCAGTCGACGATGTGGGGGGTGCCATCGATGAGCCAGCGGAAGAGGTTGTTCTTGGTGGGGTCCGCGAAGTGCGTCATGTTTAGCTTGTGGTTGACGGCGTCGGCGACAACGGACTGGGGGACGCGGTTGGGGACAAAGGGAACGAGGTTTGAGGAAGCTTCGTCGTCGCAGCTTGTGCGCATGACCACAGTGGTAGTGGAGGTAGGGTTTGCGGTTTCAGACGCGCCATCGTAGTGCAGGATGGCACCCATTTGCTTGCCAGAGCTGGTGATGGCATTTCGGTTACAGCTGGTACCAACAGCTACGCGGAACCAGTAGTTGTCAACGGTTTGGTTGGCGGTAATGACCACGTCGTAACGCTGACCAATCTGCAGAGTCAACTGGTTGGTGACAAAGGTGTTGATAGGAACAAAATCCGAAGTCAGGACAGTAAAAGGGTGGCCATCCATAGATACGCTGAAAACGTTGTCAACGGAGGTGTTGATGAGGCGGATGCGATACTTCTTTCCCTTGACAACGTTCATGCGAGCATACTTTCCGTTATCATTCAGAGCGTTGATGTGGGTACCGTTGACAAGAATGTTGTCAGGAAGAGGAGGTCCAGTCCTGGAGTGTTGCGCCACCTCGTTTAGGGTAAAGGCCGGGGTGTAGTACCAATCAGTCAAGGGCAGAGTACCGAGATCGACATCGTAGTTGGCAGTGGCTGGACCATCAATGATCATGGTGCCAACAACACCATCACCGTACTGAGCAGACCAGTGAGAGTGGTACCAAGTTGTGCCGAACTGGGTAGCCCTGAACTTGTACTGACGAGTCTTTCCAGGAGCAATTGGACACTCGGTGATACCGGGGACTCCGTCATCCTGGCAGGAGTTGAGCATTCTGATACCGTGCCAGTGGATGCCAGTTCCGTTGTGCGCAAGATTGTTCTTGACGTTAACAATGATGGTGTCACCCCATTTGGCTCGCACAACTGGGCCTGGGTATTGGCCATTGATGAGCATCATCGGCCTATTACCACCGCTTCCATCAGGGTTCGGCTTGGTGACATTGGAAATTTCAAAGTTGTACTACAAAGTTGTCAGCATATATCTAAGCGGATCAATTAGTATACTTACAGTGACAGTGGTTCCATCCGGAGGTGACTTGGCGTCAAAGTCAGTGGCGATACTGTAGCCATTACTCCAGCAGCTCCTCGTCCTTGGTGTGTTGGTGCAAGCACCATCTTGCCTCTTGACAATCTCTTCAAATGATGGAAAGTCGTCAGAGGCATCCAACGGCTCGGCCCTTAGAGGACTGCTTAGTGCGAGCGAGCCCAGTGAGAGCCAAACAGCTAGAGATTTGAACAACATGGCTGTTGGAATGCAATGTGAAAATGCCAGTAACGAGAGTGTGGTCAATATATGTGTAAAGAAGCTACGACCAAGCCAACGAACGATGAATGAGTTGGAAGCTCGATCGATGGTGAGCATGTATTGACCTGACTGCGGATAGCATTTATATGAAATGTCTTGCAGTACATATCCAGACTCACGTCAGTTAGCCCCTTGCTGTGTCACAAACATTATTCCCTTAAGCCACTTTCTAGGCCATCCTACCTAGGCTAGAAGGCAGGATCAACGAATAGGCACCATAGCCTTGTGTATCCACATTAGTACACGAGCGGGTCATCCTGAAGGCGGCCAATAGAATCTTACTTCCGATCCTCATTCGGCGAACTTTGTCATCAAGGAGCCAACTCAGCCCAGCAGCTGAAGACTAGAAGTGGTGGCGGCGCACTCACGAGCATGTCGGTAGTTGAACAGCAGTAAAGCCAAGAGGTTGAGGTCAAGGTATCAGGCGGCACCCGGGTTGAGAACCGCATTCGGATTCCCAGTTACGGGGTCTGGATTCATCGCTACCTTTGTGGCGGTTGAAACTTACCCGTAGCGGTCAATGATGAGCATGTGGAAGAATTGTAGGATCTTTTTCTGAGGCTCAGAACCCACCGCTCGCGTAAGACGAGGGTCCCTAGCAGGGTGCAGGATCTATTGAAACGCGGGTCGACACACTCCACAAAGTCTTGGTTGGCTGCTGGAGCCTACTGGGCGCCTATCAGGACCGGTGTCTCACGTGAGAAGGCTATCGGTAAAAGGGTGGGGCTCGTGTAAGGTATACGCTCAGAACGAGGCCGGGAGCATCTGCAAGCCAGGGGTGAAAAAGCACCGAGTTCACCAGGCATTAGCGGATACGGTGTAGCAAGGCTATGCCAGATGCAGTATTGAATGGCGACCTCATGATCCGGCGCTGCGGGAGGCTCCCTCGGGAGGCTGTAACCGGTAATTGTTACTAAAATAGTCATGCGCGGTAGACTTTGGAATGACCACAAGATATTGCAGCCAGTCGCAGGCCATGACGCCATTGCCCAAAGGTTTGACTGTGTAAGGCTGACCGAACAAGAAAAAGGTGGCAGAAGCTATACAATTCGTGGCTTACATGGAGAAGTGGAGCTGTACAAGCAGTCTTACTGTTCGAACAGAGGGCCGAGTTGAGCCCAGGGCCAGGGACACATCAGAATCATTGTCAGCTGCTGTGGGGTCTATCCAGGGCGATTGTCTTGTTGTCGCTGCTTGGCGCCTTGCTGCCGCCTGCATGGTGATCACATAGGCATGATGTGCTTCTTGACCGTGTCAGGGTAGTCCGGACGACTATTCGGGTCTCCAGGCAGTCCAAGTGCGACTAAGAAGCGTGGTGAATGCTAGTACGTAGATTGGCGAGGCGGCGACGACTGGCAGAGCGTGAACTAGTAGTCCTAGCAGTCGTCCACCCACAGCCCTCGTAAAGCTGCCCTGTATGCCCGAATGGACAAGGGCGTAAACGGTAGGAGATGGCAGAATACGGCGAGATAAGGTGGACAAGTGTGGCTGAAGAGAGCGTGTGGAATCGGCTGTGACCGCCCAGGGCGCCATGACAAGCGAACGACAGCTATCAATAACTTTTGGGACAAGGTTGGAGGGTGTAAGCAGCATGGCGGACGTCGGGGCCGAGTGGAGTGACGTGAACAAAGATCGGTCCAGGGGTCGAAGGCGCTAAGCAGGGGCGCCCATCCCGTGTGGCTTCCGTACTAGCTGCGGCATGTCTCCGCCCCCCCACGTGCCACCAACCACTATCCTTTTTTGCGCCCCAGGAATAGTCTCTTGAAGTAAACACTAGCATGTGGATATGCATGGGTCGAGGATCGATTATGCCATCTTTACGACACGCTGTCCGTCTGTTCCGCCTGTATCGTGTCGGCGTCTGCCACCGGTTCGCCTGGTCGTTGCCTAGTCCCAATCTGGACATGGACGACAGGACGTAGTAGCGGAACACTGGTGGTCTGAGCAAACCTACTGGGCCATGCGGTTGCAGTATCTGACTGCAAGAAATAAGCCATGCTTGAAGAATTTTGCTGAGTCTGATAGCCACGCAGGTACAAAAAGAGGCCGTGGCCCTGCAGCTTTCAAGGCCACTCCTCGTGTGGTAATCACTTCTCTCGTTTGGATCCATCTTGCACAATACCGGCAACATGTACTCTCGTTCTATCCTCCTCACTTTGGCGGCTGCGGCCATCCCGCTCGTTAGCTCAGAAGACTCGACCCCAGAGGGCATCTGCTACTCCTACGGTGTTGACTTTGTCGATGAGGGCCAATACTTCATCGACTCTCAATCCACCGAGGCTTTTAGTGCTGTCTCCTACTTCCAAGGCTGCAACGAAGACAAGGCAGATGTTCTTCTCGTTGCACCCGAGGACACGCAGGGGGAGACTGAGTTCTTGTGTGACGAGATCCTCACTACTCCTGCAGACGAGAACAAACTGTCGACATGTCCCATCAAGAAGAACCAAATGACCTCTGGACACTGGCTTCTCTTGGTATTGGGCAACAACGGCAAAGGTGGTCAGCCTTTTGCATGGCAAAGAGGTACGTCCCATACATCCTTCACCCTCCAACTTGATGCTAACTATTCTAGATCTCTACTTGACTGTGGGCCCACAGGTCACCACCACCTACACCCCAACAGTGACCATGTCTGTCATCACTACGCCTACAATCACTCAGACTGATATCACGACGTCGACGGACACTATCACTGTCGGTCCATTCTCGACTGTCACCATGCCCAGCGGAACGGCCAAGAAAATTAAGACTATCACCCCCAAGGCAGTCACTACCACATCCACCAAGACTATGACACGAACAAAGGTCTCCACCACGAAGCAATTCGTTTACACCACAAAGACCGTCACTCCAACCTGCACCAGCCGACCCCACACTGGCAAGCCTGACAAGCCCTGCGAGTACTCGCCTACCAAGATCCACCCTGCAGCGTTGGTTACACCTACAGTCATTCCTCAAGCCCGCCGCTGGGCTCCCAGGGCTGATCGTGTGGCTGACGTTGAGTGGGTTCGTGCCCGCATCGAGGCCGCAAAGCAGAAGCGCGAAGCGGCCAAGGGCCTCAACCGCCGTGCACCTGATGCTCCGACCACCACTGTCACTTTTCAGACGCCCGTCTCCACAACCCTTACCCAGACTGCCGCAGCCATCACTACCACCGAGACTGTGCTACAATCAACCGAGGTCACCTCGACGATCCCTCCTCCTACCGTTCTGTCTGGTATTCTTACCAGGACGACTACCCTGCCTACCCCTACTAAGACCAAGGTCAAGTTCAGCTTCACTACTACCACCACAACCAAGACCTATGGCGCCACTTTCACCAGGACCACGACGGCACCTCCCGCTCCTTCAGTGACTGAGTGCAAGAAGCACGGTGGACACTACTGGTGGAACTAGACTGGCTAGACTATTGACCGACTCTTTTCCTGTTTTTACTGTTGTTTACTGAGCGTTCGTTGCTTACATGCATTACGATATACTGTACATAATGACCCGAAATACCAATCCAATGATAATCTCTATGCTCATCCACTTCAAACATGTGCCTGTGTTAAGCGCCCTTGTTTCCCTGCGCGCTTGTTCTGCATTGTCCCCAAAAAGTAAGCAAAGCCACTGTATACATGCTGTGAGGCTGTACTATCCCGGGTAGGCAACCTCGCCTCGCAAGTGCCCTGCATTAGTATCTCTCAGCTACGTCAAGCTGAAAACGCCAAAACGGTCTCGTAAGCGAATCCTCAGCGAATCCTATGCCGGCTCAGACGGAATGTTCTACCGCCTCGGGGACCAACAAAAAAAAGATACGGATGCCTTGTACCGGTCAGCCTTGCCCCCAAAGCAATGCCCCATCCATGCTGACGCCTTGGGACCAGGGCCGAGGTATCACTGCCTGCTGCTAATACTGTACATTCTATCCCACCCACTCCTCCGCCCCACGCACGCGACCAGAGTCCTGGCTCACGGGTACACGGCTTATGTCGTTTTTCCCTGTCTTAACAGACCCAGCACTTGACACGACATGGCCGCCTTGCATCTCGCTTCTGTCCAACAAGAGTGAAGAACAACGGAACAACACGAGAATCACAGCCAGCGTACTAGGTGCACCCTGGCGCCCCTCTCCATCGTCGAGCAAAAAGACAGGCTGGCAACACGAGAGCGCGTGGGTCGTGCTGACGCTCGCGCGCGCGCCATCATCGTATCGGGTACGCATGGCGTTTGCAAAACAAAAAAACGTCGCAGCGCCTCATTCGCTGTCCTTTCTCGCTACACAAAATGAGAAATCAGCATGTGCAAAGTGGCTTACAACCCCAGAAAAAAACCAATCTTTGATGCAATTTCCCCCAAGAAAAAAAGGGTGAAAGCAAGGGTAAGAGTAAAACAAAAGATAGGCAAAAGACTAGATACTCGAGTCGAAGTAAAGTTCCAGATCGCCGGCATGGATCTCTGGATCTCCTCACCGACGTCCGAAAAAAAACCGCACATCCTTCCGTTTCCCCACTGCCAGGCCCCTTGCTAGCGAAATGCCCTATTCTCGTCGAATCTCCATACTAGCCATGTGTGCGCGTCATGGGTACCTCTTCCGGTCGTAGCACTTGACAAATCTCAAGGAAAGAAAAAAAAACCCCCTCGGGTGTGGATATCACATGAAAAAGGGAATTAGCGTATAGTATTATGAGAAAAAAAGAGATCGTCGCTCTGGTCTGACACTTGCAAAAGAATTGGGTACGCCCAACAAACAAGCGCAAAAGTCCAAAATAACTTTTTTCCCTTACCACCGCGTTCCTGCGTTCACACCGGCGCTGCATGACCTACTCGCAAGCGCGTTCGCATCCGAAAGAGTAAAAAGGCAAAAAAATCGGCGTTCCTACATGGGCATTACGTGTGGTGTGAGGTCCCTCTGTCGCTATCACTCTGTATCGGTGTTCCTCGCTGCACATATC